CATCGTACATTATATTAGCGTATCTCTGTTTATTCATTCCTGTCACATTGAAGAATTTTCTCGATTAAGATACTTCTCTACTACTTCTACACTGTAATTTCACTGCCTAGTCTCACTAGCTGCAATAGATGAGACTAAGATACGACACGCAGACGACAAACTCTACCTCAAATAAACTATTAATGATTATGATGATAGATTGAAAAACATTATTGATTAGGTACTAGGAAATAAAAATCTTGAGTTTACATTTTTTAATGGTTGATAAGTATATGGTGCACCCGCCTAATGATTTTTGCTAGTGGGGCACCAGTGGAGGATGATGAGAGGTGTAGAGTCATGTGAATTAGTCATATGAATTTATCAGGATGGTTTCCAAGGGGAACCGCATGGAGGTCAAACTGACATGCTATATTGCTAGCAATGGGATCATTAATCCACATCTAACAATCCAATTCCATCTAACAAAAGAATTCAATTCTAAGTTAGTAAACCACTATACTACGACGGTTTTTCATTACATAATTTATGTAAATAAAACAATGATATTTTACTGCGTTATAGAGGTCAAATAGATACTTAAATTAACTGTATCAATTGACTACGTAATTAATAATTTAACAGTATACTTACCGTATTTTGCGGAAATCTGTGAATAATTTCATTACATAACAAGTGCCTACGTGATGGTTGGCACTCGGCCTGTGCACTCATTGTGTTCTCACCTTCGCCGCGGTCGCGGGTTTGTGGCGATTTATTTGCCCCCATCGATTAATCCCAATCGGAATTGTATATAATATATGTCTGTGTAGTAACGAAGAAAGAAAACAGTTTGGCAATACTCCTTTTTATCTGATACATGTCTTAAAATTATATTATTTAAGACTTAAACAGTTTTTAAATCTGTGTGTTGTACGAGTAATCAAACCCGCAACCGGTAGGCTGCTAATGTAATGACGAAGATAGAATACAGTTTGGGACCTTTCTTTTCATCTCATGGATATCATAAACAGCACCTGTAGTAAACATTTTATAATCAAAAAGGAACTCTTAGGAAATTGTAGCTGTAATTGTAACTGTAATTAGGGAATTGAACCATCTCGATCACCCTAGCTTTAAAAAAAAACAGCATGAGAATCGGTCTGTTGGTTTCGAAACGATGGTGACATCATGTCACGAGTAAAAGCGGAACTAGTATTTAAGAATACGGATTCTCTTGCCCACCGGTCAGGACTAACAATCGATTAAAACTGGTTCCGATTGCAAATATATACCAAAGACATTACAGCTACACCGAAACACAGAGAATTTTAATTATGCATTACCAAATTACATTCACTATCATATTCTTGTATGCTTTGTACGTTGTTGAGGCAATATTTCTCTTTCTAAAACGACTTTTGAATGTATATATGCTTCTTTTTCAGTGTCACTTCTCTCAAAATGAGGTAATTAATTCAAATACAGCAAAGCAAACAAATAATCTAAAAAGATGAGGGTACACTGCACTAGAAGTTGTCGTCTGGGTGGGTACGTTAATCTCACCTATTTTATTATTACTGAAATAATAAATAACCCTGGGCATTTACACTGTCCCATGGTAAGCAGAGCTTGTGTTGTGGATACTAGACAACTAATTTAAATGCTTAGATTTTGTAAATACTGTATAATATACATAGAAAACACCCAGATCGATACAAACAATCATACTCATAGATACAAATATTTGCACCGTGAGAGGAATCAAACCCGCGCTATAGGAAGTAAAGCGGTGTGCTAAACCGCTAGACCATCGAGGCCGTCAAGTGAAAAAGGTAGAATTAGATAGGTGAGCCGTTGTGTTGCCTCTAGATCACCGAAGTAAAACATGCCTGTTTGTACATATATCTAATGATCCAATCATATAATGTATGAAAATTGCAGCTGTTGTGTAATCGAAGCAGTTGCATCTCAAACCGGTCCATTGCATAGCCACTGCGTAATAGCGATATTAGGTATAACTTCTACTTGAAAAATTAACTCATACTTATAAGAATATTATAGCTAAGTTAGCTAGAATCTGTTATTGTATAAATTACTATTTTGCCGCATCCAAAAGTGGGTAAAAAACGTGCAGCTGGGAGTCTAAACCCGCGGAATATTTTGTAAAACATCAAATCTTCTTATACGGTTAGTATACGACTGCAGTCTGAGAGCACCACTAGGGGTTCGAAATTCAGTTCAGGCCGTCGTTATTTCGATCCCCGTTGCCGTTTGAATAGGACAGGAAACCTATCAGAGGGTCAAGTTGTCTGGTCGTCGTGTTGCCTAGCTCGCCGAGTTTTATATTTGTTTTATTATCTGTATGTCCATAAAAAATGTGTGCAACGAGATATAGACGCATGTTACATTAAGCTTTACATATATATTCGTATATGGCCATCATAATGTCAGATTTGTGGTGCCGGTAATATATTAGTACCCATATTGGCGACCGTACCAAATTTACATTAGAATCGCTGGCCGTGTTTTTTAATATTAAGGGCTTTTAATAAAACTACTAAAAATATATAGACATTACAATTTATTTAATGCCTCTTTGCAGAGTGTTCCATCTACAAAGATCCTTTGTTGTGTGTTTTACTTTTGCTTTGTGGGGTAGTAATAAAATAAAAAAATATATATATTGTAGATTAGAAGTGCAATTCAGCTAAAAATATTTTATTGTAGCCATGTTGTATACATAGCTAGGTTATTATCACCAATTCCAAAATAATTGCACGTTTTTGTAACAAAGTAAAAGTTTTTATTTATATCTTATTATATTATATAACATTTAAGAGAGAATTTTTAGATTTACATGAGAATTTTAATTTCTAAGTAATTTAAAAATGAAAGTAAAAAATTCACAAATACCTACCTAAAACTATTACCTAAAAAATTTCATACCTATAATCATAACAGACCTCTCTCTTATGGTTACTAGTGCGCATCACTTAACCACTATAAATTGAACTTCACTATCATAATCAGATATTAAGATAGGGAGATCTCCACATTATCATACTTCCGGCAATTTTGGATTTATCACAGATTACATTTTGTTTTAATAGAAATAATTTAGTCTACGCGCATTTATATATGTTATATTTACATTTATTATACCATAATAAAGTGTTAATTACGTGGCCGCAGTTACTGGAGCGTTGACAACATGAGGTTGCTTCCTGAAATATACTGAAAGTAGACCTATACGGAAGTGATTTACTAAGTACATTTTAAAATCAATAAATTTAGTTCAGAATTTCTTCGATGCCATTAGATTTCTTTTATAATGGCAATCTTGCTGATGGTCCACTTGATGGAAATACCATTACCTAAAACACATTAATAGCAATATGGATATTACATTATATGTGACAACCGCAATATTGATCTACTGTACATAATATTCTACTTATCGGCACTTCAAGGTATCATGGACTGAATATGAATAAACTCGGACAATAAAATTGCCTATAGCCAGCTCATGTTTAAAACTAAAAATTATTTTCTGTATATTTCTGATTTGTAATAGTATATGTATTACTTCAAAATATTATAAAGAATGTTCTCTGAAGACGCCACATGTCATCATATTAAAATTTTTTATATATTTTACGTACCAGGTATTTTGTATTTCTACTTAAGTTCATAGAACGCCATCTTGTGAGCATTTATGATATCATGTTGCATGTTGTAGTTCACGTGCTAGTGTTGGCTACTTATAATTAGTAGTTTCCCCGCTGAACAAACCATGCTCATATATCTCATATACATGCCGATAGATGGAGCTGATTTTAATAATTCTTTTTAACCCCTTGGCAAAAATGTGGGTGTTATTAGTTCGACATTTTTGTGTGTCTGTATTTGGCATCATAGTCCCTAAATCAATTTGAAAGCTGATCGAGTATTTTTTATTCCATGGTTGCTATTTTTTTATTTTTATATATTATGCAACTATAAAGGTAGACAATAAAAAAATAAGAAGAAATGACAGTTACTAAAATCTCGGTCAGCGTTACCGACATTACGTAATATATGCGACACTAATACATTCTACAATTTAAATTATCTCTTCAATTGTCGATGGGCAATTACTATATTAAATTATTTATTTAATCCATGGCACAATGATAGCCTAACCTCTACCATGTTTGATTATACTCAGCTAATTTATATATAACCCGATATTGACACAATATTAACAAATACTTCTATGTATATATCTTTCTTTCTTTCTTTCTTTCTTTCTTTCTTTCTTTCTTTCTTTCTTTCTTTCTTTCTTTCTTTCTTTCTTTCTTTCTTTCTTTCTATACCGTCCTGTTGTAACAGCAGTGGGCAATAAATAAAACACAATATATTTATATGTTAAACTGGACATTTGTCATGATCTGTATTTCTTTAAAACGGCGTTATATATTTATTGAAATATTTCTGTGATATTTATATTTCCTAAATATCCATAAATTACTATAGAACTTAACCATTTTCTAACAGTTCTACCATTGAAACGGTTGTCATTCTTAGTAGTATCCAAATTAGAATAAACCTTATTAAACTTTATTGCGAGGCAATTCTTTATTACAATTACATCTAATAGTAAAAAATAAATATTGATCCGTGTATTTCAGATATATTTACTAGCTGAAAAAGTATATTCTGAGCATCTAATCCATCTAGAAAAGATTACTACATATCGGCAGTTATGGGTAAAAAATAAACAAGTAGATTTTACTATTATATTTTATTAGTTTAGCACAAACTTTAATTTCATATTTTATTCATTTGTTGGTCATTAAAGAACTCAATTTGAGTTCATTGTGGTAAAAATTATTTAGTACAAGAGTTGGTTACTTTTCCTAAGTCAATCGATAATTAGGTTAAAACTCTCGGTCAATCCGAGAAATTTCCTATTTTGATTAAAATGTTACTAAAGTAACTGCTTAATTTATTTTATTTACATTCAAACATTACTCAATATTAATCTGCTCCCACATATTTAATCCAATAAATTTTTAAATTTAATGAAACATAGTATCTATTAATAAATTGCGTTTATTAAGTACTTATCCTAATAATAGGTAATATTTATTACATGTACATAAGACTCGTTACTTACAATGACAATTTGTTCATATTCTATATACAGACTTAATTAAACTAGTACAACATTACACTAGGAGTATTTTGTAATGTCAACAGCTTTTGAGTATTTTTAAGTTCACATACAATAAATTATATACCACAACACTGTCATAACACAAGCCAATCTTCCTTGATCATATCCGAGGCTTTTTCAGCAATCATAATTACTGGTGCATTTGGATTACCGCTTATAATAGTGGGCATAATACTAGCGTCTACCACCCTGAGGTTCGCAACACCATGGACACGCAATCTCGGATCGACAACAGCTTCCTGGTCATGCTTGGGACCCATCTTGCAGGTTCCCGTCGGATGGTAAATAGTGAATGTAAAATGTTTCAAACTGCACTCCCAATATTCATCACTAAACAACACATGATGTTGACAACCGGGAAGGGGAATATTATGAGGCCTCGACCCGTACCTCTGAAAAGCAGTCGTATTAGATATAGCCATTGCTATTCTGATCCCTTCTGTTAATACTTTGATGTCCTCCTTATAAGCGAAATAATTAGGCTCTATAGACGCAGGATGAAATGGATTCCGACTCTTTAACTTAACCCAACCTGAGCTTTTAGGGCGCAGCAACAAAGGAAGTATCGTCCAGGTCTCCGCATTCTCTATTGGTTTGTACACCGTATTGTACACCCTATCACGTAAGTTCAAAATTTTTCGAATCTGTTCACCGCCGTCTGAGTTAACAGAACTCGGAGCAAAATGGAATTGTATATCCGGCCAATTGCCTGATGACGGTGCGTATTTTGTGTTGACAAACGCTAAGCCTTCCACGCCTTGCGTCGTCATCGGTCCTTTCTCGTATAGAATGTAGTTCATAGCTACAGAGAACGTTTGGAAGCGGTCCTTTTTAAATGTCACCGGTTTGTTGACTACGAAAGTTAAACCGCCCAATCCGACGTGATCTTGTAAATTGTGACCCACTTTTAGATTAGCTATAACGGGAATGTCATGTTCTTTTAAATGGTCTGCAGGGCCGATACCACTCAACATCATTATTTTAGGTGTGGCTAATGCTCCAGCTGACATAATGACTTCCCTTTTAATTCTTACTTTATGCTTTTGACCGTTACGTACAAATTCGACACCGTAAGCCTGCTTTTTAACCGGATTGATCAGTATGCGTGTTACTTGAGCACCGAGAGCGATATGTAGGTTCTCCCGTTGTCTTATGGGGCGTAGGAAGGCTTTGGCAGTGCTACATCGGCTACCTCGCCGCATTGTCGCTTGAGTTAACATGAAACCGGTTTGCTTCGCTCCATTTATATCTCGATTCTCGTAGCCGAGCTCCATGCCTGCTTTTATAAATGTGACAGACAGGGGTGTTCTCCAGGGTGCTTCTTGGACGGTGAGAAATCCACCAGCGGAGTGATATGGCGTATTTACCAAATATGGATTTCGGTTGTCTTCGGACTTCAAAAAGTAGGGTAGTACTTGGTCGTAAGACCAGCCAGGGTTACCAAGTGCTTCCCACAAGTCATAATCATTGCGGTTTCCTCTAACGTAGACCATTGCATTGAGAACGCTGCAACCACCAAGAACCTTCCCTCGAGGCCAATTGCAGCGGTCCCCATTCATAGCTAGGCAGTAAGAGCGGTTGTTTGAAGGGGTCGTTTGGAACTTCCAGTCCATGTCTGAGAGTTGTGTGTAGCCGGCTAATGCTGGTATGTCGGAGATCTCGGTCTCGTCCTGCCCGGCCTCCAGAAGCAGGACTGTCCAATTTCCGATCTCAGATAGGCGTGACGCGACCACCGCACCCGCTGAGCCGCCCCCGACTATTATAAAATCGTAGATCGGCATCATCTGAAAAAATAACATAATATTGAATTGTTTAATGTGTAACAGTATTATTTTTATCTTTAGGTCATCAATATGTATTCGCAAAGTACAAAAATGTTAAAAACAGACAAATAAAAATATGTATTATATGTGTTTTGGTACGATCTTTTTCTCCATAACTTTAAGCTATCACATTGAATAATAGGACCACATATTGAACTTTATAAAAATCCTTTTAATATAAACGTGAAAGAAAATTAATAAATACAAATTTGAGGCTAGATGTTTGTTACTTTTTTATGATAAAACTACTAGACAGATTCGAATGAAATGTACACAGATAGATCTTATTCTAGGTTAACTATCGAATTATCGCTGCATTATACGGCTAGTAATATAATATTTTATTTATTTACTTTGTGATCATCTACGATAATTTCATACTATGAATTGCGAAATAGGAAATTGTAGGTCCACCACATACAACGCCATTGATATTATATAGGCAGTTCTATCCAAAACACTATTTTGACATCTAACATTGGACTAGCATAGGTTTAGCTATATCCGAACAGTATGTTTTCAGTTTAGTTCATAGATATTTTGTATTAGTTCTGTATAGATATATATGTGTATAGTATGCGGCAATGTGTATGTATAAAATTGCAAATAACTTTTATATTTATTTTATTTAAAAAAATACTACCATATGCACATATGATGTCCTGTATATATCTCCTATCATCATGATATATGCCATCATATCCTATCCTTATCCTAGAATAAATAAGTAAACATGACATGTACATATAAGTATAATTTTAAAAAAAATTACACTTACGGTATTGACTTCTGATATATAAGACTCTGGGTCGAATTGTTGGTATCTGAAATACGTAATTCCTAGTGCTAGGAGTGGTATCAGACCCAACACAGTGATGGGGGACGGTGCCAAGCTGGCCAGCGCTCCTGCCGCCTCCATCTTCGCCCTCACAAAACATCTACTACTACACTAATATTTACAACTTAAACTACGAGTCTCTCAGCTCTCTTATATTCTCCTATCAACTTTTTTCTTCTGCTCTTCTTCGAGTATTTTAGGCGTGTAATTCCTTATACCACCTTTCTTTTGCGTGGACGTTTTCGAGTGAGCTTCAGTGTCACTCAAGTAACTATTGAGTCGTGCAGTTTTCAATTCTTCGTTTTCGACATCAAAAAGCTGCAATTTGTAACGTTTCTCCTTGGGAATCTTGACGGGCTTATATAATTCTTTATTGACGTCCTTATAATGGTCGTTCTTGTATAAAGACGTGCAGTAGTAATCACTTTTGGAGGATCTTTCGGAGTGACATTCGTAAGCGCTGGATCCGCTTCTGTACCCGCTGCTTTCGATTGAGGAGTTGTCGCTTCTGTAGCTGTCGGCACTTCTTCTAATTTTGTGTCGCTTATAGTCTGTGTCGTCGAAGTCGCTCGACCTGTAGTCAATGGGAGTCCTGCACTGTGAGTCGTATTTGTTCTTATATCTTCTCACTTGCGGTATGCTATGCCCAGCGTATGACTGTTCTTGACCCATGGTGCAGTGTGCGGCAACGCTCTATCGGGATTTGATTCCTGTAATTAGATAAAAAGTTCACTTTATTATGTGGTAATAATTCTTTTTTTTTTTGTTTACAGGTAAGATCGAGATAATGAAGAATTACTATATGGTATATTAAAAAATATATTTCTCATGTTTGCAAAAATAAATAAAAAAATTACTTTTTCATATGACGATATATGGTTATATAAAAGTAATAGTAACATAATAGTACTAATGCTATATTCGTAATTTAAATAGTTATTTTATTAAAAAATCATATGCTATCTTTACATAGGTATTTGTTTACAATATTTCCCGTTAAACCTTAACTTAGCTCACTGCGATAGAGAGATGATCGATATTTTTACATCGATGTTAAGATACACAGATAATAAAAAGTTATTCGAAATGCAAAATGATATGATATCAGATACGCCTAGAGGAAACATTGATGTTTCTCATTGGAATTTTATCGTATTTTGTAAGTAAGTATCGAAACACGATAAAATTTCAATGAGAAACATTGATGTGAACATAGTTATGGCTGTATTTTTTTTAATATCGATCATCACTTCTGCGACAATTTGTTTTTTTTTTTATATAAATAAAGTATTTAAAATACAAAATATCATTTTGAGTGTTACGACGCACGTCTAATAATAGTCTATTACAACCTAGCAGTCATATATATTACTTCTAATCATCATATAGAATTGTGGCCAAAAACAGCGTCAGTTAATCAACTCGTAGGTCGCGATAGTTGACCTACGAGCGAGCGGAATAGAATCACTGTGATCATATCCCAATATCATCACTCGCTGTTCAGTCGAGTCAGTTAAGACCCTCCTGATGGCAACTTGAAAAAAATACATCATTCGTAATACCGTACGGCCAAAACGAAATTATATCGCGTTTTAGAACGCAGCGACATCTGTTGGCAACGGTTATAAAACTCCACGTGGTCGTTAACCTTGTCCTTGATACCGTTACAGATTATAACAACAACTGTTAAAAGCAAGTGATTATAAATAGATTTGACCCAGTTAAGTCTAATAACTTGCATAAAAATATGCTTATTTCGAGTTACGAAAAAACCTCGCATTTCTGTTTCTTTCCACTCAATTAATAAACTATTTCGATTTGAGTTTATTAAACATAAATGTACTAAATACTTTTCCCTATTACTTGATAATCAACATTACTGTCTATGTTTCCTGCAAACCATAAACTTTCACTTGTAATTTAAACTTACTAGGTACCCTAATTGAACGCCTCTCTAATTCGATAAAACAATTTGCTTGGTAAACAGACACCTATTCAATTTCCATGGCGCGTTATCTTTGGAGTTGGAAATACATTTGCGGTTGTAAGAATACAATGAATGTCGTGATAAACAATTGTTTACAAATGCTGGTAAGTTTCACTCTCAGATGCGGGGTCATGTACTAGTCGTGTTTATCGCCATGACAACAACAGATCATGCAGACAGTTAGACACTATCACTTTTATAATGTAGAAAACGGTATTTTGATGAACTTTCTTCAAATGGAATGTATTAAATTATACATTTAAACGTCTATGGCCCAACAAAGATTATAGGGACTTGATAGATGCAGACAGCTTAGGGCTATTCCCTGTGGTCATCATGGTTTATTACTGAGAACAGAACTGTTGTTAATTTGATGAATAATTTTAAAATACCAGAATAAATTTAGAACATTTGAAATACTTAAAAAAATAATATACGCCTACATTGTTATATAAAGTGAAAGCAGAGTAAGTGACTGTCAATTGTTACATTTTAATTATTTATGTTTATACATATATTATTATACAAATTCCTAAGAATACATACTTACATACCCATCATGAAATGTAGATTATGTAATATGTTTTTTTTTTATTAATTCATTATAGTTATACAAAATATATCAAAAACTTATTTTCATAATACTTATTGGATATCGCTGTTAAAAATGTTTAGCAATAATTATTCATATTAAAAATATATAAAGTAATCATCATATAAATATTTTTTATTTCTGTAAAGTCAATATTGTATCCGTATTTCTACACTTCTTTTATATTTAGTTTTACAATTTTAATTTTAAGCATATTCAGTTAGTGCACAATGTAACTGTTCATCTTATTATCCATGTCTACAACAACAAAAGGCCGTGTAATTTACTCATTAACTATTAGTATGTAACCAAGCGTAATACAGTTTGCAGTAAATTTCGTTCTACGCAAATAACCTTAAAACAAGCGTGGATAAGGAGCCATACATCATTGTTTACTAAACAATGAGCAGGTATTTGTTACTGTTTTGCTTATTTTTGTACAGAACAACCATCTTTACTCGTATTCATATATAGTCACGGATTAAACATCGCATCGCAAGCTGTCGCATCGCTTATGTACAGGATCATCACATTCTCATGTGACACCCGTGTTACCACTCATACGTCGCCAATCCCGAGGACTTTTATAATGTAATTTCACTGCCCTAAAACATACTGCTAACTATAGTGTGAAACACCATTAATTAAAAATGGTAAAGTCAATAATCGTGATTCTTATCTAAGGCATTCAGAGTAACCTGAAACGAAACTGCAGTGGCCTAAATAATCTTTATGACATTGACAAGTAGATTTGACGGATGGATGTACGTCAGTTACGTAGCGGGAGTTTTGGAGCGAAAAGGCTGGAGTGTTTATTATTATAAAAAAACAAATAAGAGATAGGTAATTGTGAATATTGTAGGCATTGATGAGTTTATTAGCTGGGGTTCTCTCCCTGATCCATCGATGGCCGCCATCGGGGCCTAAGTCATCATCATAACTAGTGGTTTTAAAAATACACAGTTCACAAAGAAAGCAGCTTGCTGCCTAAAATAGGTGACTGAATTATGCATACTACTTTTTAAAGTAAACATCTGTAACATTAATTATAATATTAAAAATCAAATTTGCAAACCTTACTTTTACATGCTGCGAAATCAGTAAAGCAAATGTTTGTATTCAATTTGCTCCAACTGCCACGCAGCTTTTAAACTTTTTCTTTACGGCTTTTAGCAACGGTTTATTTGGTAAATATAAATATTTATTTAAACATTTATAACAACTGTCCAGGTAAGTTGCTTATACTCGACTTATTTCAGTAATCATTGTAGTAGTAACATATTCGTAAATGGTTGAAGGAAATATTTTATAGTAATATACAACATCTTTGGTACGCTTCCTCGATGTGCCGCGTTGGATTACATGATTCTTGGTTTTTGGTGTGAATTGTTTGTTAATATAAGTTAATTTTATTGTAAATATAAATAAATAGATGCAAAATATAAAAATATTCAATTATTTATTTAAATTCATTTGAATGATTCAATTTTTATTTATGCGGAATTTAGTTAAGCTTCCTGCCGTCTAGCGGATTCATTTTTGTATTTAATTAGTGGTTCCTTTATCAGAAAGTCTGTCAGAAATATACATTGACACATAGGAAAATTTTAATATAAAATAAAAATAAATATTGCAGACACTGGCACTGAATGTTGTGTCTTAACTATTTTGACATAGTATTAGTAAATAATATGACACAATATATTATAATTGTGACCACGGTTAGAAAACCGTTCTAAATTAACCAGAGCACAACGCTTTTATCTTGTGTGATAATAAAGTCTATTTTACCCAGTGCTTTTCTGTTTGTTTCCTATTCCTCAGTAATACAATAATATGTCTTAAATACTGACAACAACCCTGTGTCTATGTTTTTAAGGTTTAAAACTCTTTACTTTATTAAATGCCTTAAAATGTAATTCTCCGTAAAATATATTATGATTATATGTATACACTGCCTAATTTCTCTTAATTAAAACACTTTCATTTATGAATGGTCTAATAAAAATTACTTCAATAATTCATATTTTTAAATACATATATGTAATCATCAAAACCGTCATTGAAGAGCTTTTTTTTGTAAATAGGTATGTATTAAATAAGTGCTAATTCTAATGGACTCAATGTATTGTTCCAGCCACTACTGTAAGTTTCTCTCACAGAAAGAATAATTACATAAATTAATATGTACATCAAATATAAAAAGAAAAAAAAAACATAATTATAATAGTTTTTTTATGAACTTAGTTTATGAATAATAACTATTAATAATAAGTAATAAATAATTTTCTTTGAAAATTCATATATGTATGGCACGAAGTCTTTAAAGGGTAACCTTTTATTGTATATATATTTTCGAGCATACTAGTATATTATTCCAGCTATTTCCAGTGTATGGTAATGTATTAGTGTTTTTTTACAACGTGATATTTTTCATTAAAGTTCCGTAAGCGTAATTAACTGCTCACACTGCGATGTAATCATGGACTCACATATGTATGTATGTTAGTACATAAATATTTATGCCGTCTAGTCAAATAACGGCGTATGTTTCTGGTTAAGTGTATCTTGGTAGAGTATATTGCCATTTCACTTTGTAATTAGTTATTCTACGACTTCATTCACTAATACCATGTAAAATATTTAAATTGTAGATTATAATCTTTTATTTATTATGTTTCTAGGTGGATTGATGTCGTAAAATAACATACAAAAAAGTTTTTTAAACTAATCATTACGTAGTAATCCTTAATCTCACATTGATAAATTCCTACACTTTATCTCTTCAGTAAATTATGGCTATAGTATCCATATATACAGAATATTTCAGTAAATTATAGAAATTGCAAATTTCCAGTACAAAAAATTTCATATGAAACCATCACTACTATGACTACAGATGACATTTGACATTTATAAGTCTTTGTATAGAAAATCCGAAGGTTAAATTAGGTAATGTTTGACGAGCCATCTGCCGACCTAAGACACGCAAGTGACCATTATTTACACATCTATCGTCTTAAATATTTAACCGTTTACAAATGCTTCTACGTTAGAAGCAGGAGTGTTTGGTAACTACCGAAATAACGTAATAAACTTCTGTATATTTCTTTACAAAATGTCTTATCCTA